AAGGCCACCTGTTATTGACAAATAGGGATTTTTTTAAGCCTTCAGAGTTTCCATTGAGTAGGTGTATTTAAATTTCTCTGACTATAAATGTACTAAATGAAGCAGAACTGCTTCTGGTCAGAAGAAAGGTAGGCATACAAATTTTGGGAGTGAAGCTGTTCCAGAAATTTGCAATCTTAAAAGATCAGGTTCATAGCTTGAGAGTGTCCTTGATATTTTACTCTTGTTGATTTTCTGGGAGAGTGAAACAGAAAGGACTGTATTTGAACAGCTATACTTAGTGTACTAGCTTGATTTTAACTGAGTTGATCTGATTTGTCTTTAAATCCTAGCTCGATCATATCTACATGATTATCATGTACTTAAAAGGGCTAACTCTGAACAGCAGATGGTTAGATGTACAAAATATTGCACTTGAGTGTGTGATTTGGAGATATTATATCAATATTGAAAGATCCACATTGATTACTTTTGCTTTAGTCAAGATAATGGTTTTAATTTTAACTGTTTAATGGTTTATAGTATTACAAATTAAGGGTATATCTGTTGTATAGTTAACATATGTTGCTATTATTATAGGAAAAGGCCTCTCATTTTTTTCCCGTATTGCACTCAAACTGTAGTATATTTAAAATTACCTCACAGTCATTGTTTCCCAAAAAGGTATCAAAACATTTTTTTAATTTGGCCTTATAAGTTTAGTGTTTTGTTGTTCTAATGTTTTCAACCGTTTTATTATTAACTTCTTGTCCTTCCATTATTTTTTTCACGTTGTGATGATTTTTGAGCAAGAATATTCAATTGATCGATCCATCAGTCCAACCAACCAACCAACTTTTCTGGCTGGGCAGCTACAGTACAGGTATAGCAGACTGGCTCCAGGTTGGCAAAGGAGTGAGACAAGGCCGTAAACTCTCCTCTTATGTATTCAACCAATATGCCAAATGTGTATTAAGGGAAGCTGGACTGAAAGAAATTCATGTAGTTATAAAATATTTAGAAGAAAAATCTATAACTCGCTCTACGCTGATGATACTACAGTGATAGCTGAAAATATAGTTGAAAGAGAATCTGCAAGTCCTAATAATAATATTCAAGGAGCACAGTGAACAATGGGGCTAAGTTTAAATACAAACACATGACAACTGGTAGAACAACCACCCACAGAATAGACAATGAAGATACTGAAGTAGTGAATAGATTCAGCCTTTTAGGATCAACTATCAGCAATCAGTCAATAAATGTGTTATAGACTAGCAATTGGTGGAGCAAATGTTAGCCTTGTTGCTTGCACAGTGCTGATATTTGTAGGTGTAAACATATCATGGCATTTGAGTATCTTTTCCAAGTCCTTTAGGGCTGCTCCACCAAGTGATGAAGACAAGTCCAATATTTAAAAAATGACAATACTGAAAAAATCAGCCACTGAATTTTTCAGTGACATACTAGATTTGGCACAATTACATGGTATTTGTTATCCTTGCAATATAAACAGGAAATAAAGGGAAGCCTGAACAGTCTTTAAAGGGTGCCATTTACTGTTACCAATGGAGTCCTTCCTAGAAAATCCACTTAATCTATATTTACCTAACAAAAACATTAGTGCATACTGTTTTTGTTATGCATTATGAAAGTTCACAATTAATGGTATATCTACCTTGGTCCTCAGTCTTCCAGCCCACTCATTTTCTCTACTTAAAGCTGGTATTCCTGCTCACCTTCACTATTTTTTAAATATGATGTTGCAGAATTGGAGTTTGACAGATTGGATTCAATTTCATCAAGCCTTAATTGTTTTTGAGGCTAATTAAGTTACTATCATTATCTAGCATGATGCTATCATGCAGTCCTTGCTTGCCATTCCAGGAGTCAGGGCTACACAAGGGAGGATTTCTACAGACTGTTACTTCAATAGTTACATTCCACACCTTCAGAGCACCCAAAGACCATGTTCCTTTCTAATGGGTGCCATGTACAACCTCTCTTGTTGCCCTTGATCAAGTTGAAATTTCATGTTTCTGTCTTGCAATTTGCTTTCTTATAACCATCTCTGATGGTTTTTCTGTTGTCTTGAGCAGCGCTGGAATTTAAAGATCCCACTTCAGATGGCAGCGTTTTGCTGTCAAGTAAAAGCTAATGTAGCTTTATCTTTATCTGCTTCAAATTGCCAGTGACTTTTTCTCTTGTTTTTAGGACCATGCCTACTGATGTTAACTAGCATTTCCTTCTTGGGAAATGGCTTCTTACTGGCCCAGGAAAAACATCACTAATGAGAGTATTACCTTTTTATATTGAAGTTAATACAAAAATTCCTATGGCCCTATGAGACAAAGAGGCCCTTACTTAGGAATCTTAATAACAGTTAATGCAAGAAGAAATCACCTGCTTGAAATTAAGGAGATTATATAGCCCTGACTTTTAAAAAAGGGCTATTTTCCCTATCTTTTTTGTGTGCATAATTGCTGAAGGCAATCAAATTACTCCTGGTGCCTCACACATCTTCTAGCAAACTAAGCACAGATTCTTGGGCTAATGGAGCTTGAGTTTGCTCTCCTCCTTCCTGTTCTGACATGAAAAGGAAGATTGGGAGGAAAAGGCTGGGCATTCTCTCCATACTTCTACCCTCCCCGCCCCCGTCAAGATTTCTGTTGCACAGCTCTACTGTTAAACAGAGTGATACAGTTAACTCAGCTCCAATCTGTGGCCCTAAACTGGCCTTGACCTTTAGCTGTTGTAAAAGATATTGTCTTGTGATGAATTCATTCAACAACCAATACAGGTTGCTTTCCTTAGGTGGGTTATCTTGCCTTTTGTTCAGGCCAAACTGTAATCAGGGCTAGCTCTGGTTATGAAAAATTATATCCTGACCAGGTTTATCTTCTCTTTCAATCTCCCAGCTGGAGTAAGGCAGAAAGTGGTTGTGCCCCTACAAGGCATTGGCCAATATGCCTTTCTCCTTACTTTCCAATAAAAGCAGAAAAGGCGAACTGAAAATAATAAAAATATGTGATATACAATAGCGCATTTTCCACGCCTGTGGGTATTTGTGCATATATGTGTACATGTAAAAATGTATGTCATGTGTGTAAAAATCTCAGATACCCAACTGATTGCCCTCTTTCTTGCAAGCCATAGTGCACATTTAGTTATTTATTTACTTGCTCAGTTCCCAAATATATCGAAGAAGAAACCTCACAAACATTCATAAGATTGTGCCTACTAAAATACTCTTCACTCCAAATCAGCAGTGCTTGGAACTGAATATGTCATGGATCATCCTAAGCACAGGTCTGCTTCCATGACTACCATGCTCCTTAGCATAAGGGTTGCTGAAGGTAGCATGAAATCTACCCAGATGGTTGATACAATCCAGAAGATTTATAACTTTCCTCTCTATCCATAATATTTGGATATTGTCAGTTCTGTGATTCCATCTCATCTTCTTCTCCTCCACAACAGTTTTTCCCTAGTTGGCATACTGCATCCGTCCCTCTCAATTCCTGGCAAATAGATGGGGAAGAAATGGAGGCAGTGACAGATTTTATCTTCCTGGGCTCTAAGATCACCACAGATGGGGACTGCAGCCAAGAAATTAAAAGACGCTTGCTCCTGGGGCGGAAAGCTAGGGCAAATCTAGACAGCGTACTAAAAAGCCAACAAAAGTACGTATAGTCAAGGTCATGATTTTCCCAGTTGCAATGTATGGCTGTGAAAGTTGGACCATAAGAAAGGCTGAGTGCCAAAAAATTGAGGCCTTTGAACTATGGTCCTGGAGAAGACTCCTGCGAGTCCCCTGGACTGCAAGGCGATCAAACCAGTCAGTCCTAGAGGAGATCAATCCTGACTGCTCTTTAGAAGGCCAGATCCTGAAGTTGAAACTCAAGTACTTTGGCCACCTAATGAGAAGGAAGGACTCACTGGAGAAGAGCCTAATGCTGGGAAAGATTCAGGTCAATAGAAGAAGGGGACGACAGAGAATGAGGTGGCTGGATGGAGTCACTGAAGCCATACGTATGAGCTTAAATGGACTCCAGATGGTAGAGGACAGGAAGGCCTGGAGGAATGTTGTCCATGGGGTTGCAATGGGTCGGACACGACTTTGCAACTAACAACAATGCTTTAGCCATGCTGGATGAAGATTGTGGGGATTGATGAGCCGAGGTGGCGCAGCAGTTAGAGTGCAGTACTGCAGGCCACTTTAGCTGACTGTGTTCAGCAGGTCAGCGGTTCAAATCTCACCGGCTCAAGGTTGACTCAGCCTTCCATCCTTCCGGGGTAGGTAAAATGAGGACCCAGATTGTTGGGGGCAATGTAAATATATATATACATTGCTTACTGGTGTACACCGCTTAGAGAGTGCTTGCACTTAAAAAGCGGTATATAAGTCTCATAAATAAATAAAATAAATAAATTGAAGTCCATAATATCTAGCACACAGTAAAACTGAGGAGGACAGAGCAGAAAAAGAGGCATCACCAGCATCTCGTTGATGTAGGTCAAAATTGGATTTTTTTTTTTTGTCATTAGATAGTAGGCTATGTCAAAGACAAAGTTCTGGAATTCATGGGAGATACGGATTCAAGATGACACACAGTATGAAGATTATGGGATAATGAGTGAAAAGCTAGATTAAAGAAAAAAAGATAGGAAGTTGGAATCATATAGAACTTCTAGATATTTTTGGCCAAATGACCACTTAAGTTTAAAGATTTGTGCCAGCTCTGCCAATATGATATATTATGATATACTGTGATATGATATGATGGCATGACACAATCTCTTATGGGCATGTTTAAGTTATGAAAACTGTGATTTCTCTAGCTTACAGGCTTCAGTTATTTATTAACGAATAGATATGTCAGTGCCCAATAAATAAGAATATATTGGCATGATATGTTATGCTTCTGCAAATTAACAAGGATCAAAACATTTCATTCTCTTCTATGGCAACCAATCAAAACACAAGCAAAAAGGTGCCAAGTAAGCTGGCTCTCACTTACTAAATTGCCTTCATCATCCAAATCATCACATTCTGGGAGCAGATCATCCAAATGAAGCTGCTGAATCAAGACTCTTGAGGTGGCTTTGCCACTGTAGTCTGCTGCAGAGGTGTGGCTACTGTGGATGTTGCTGGTCCGGTAAAGAGAAGGCACCTGCAGGGTATCTTGAAAGTCAAAGGAGCCTTTGGTTTCTAGTGACTCCATGCGATGAGGTATAGAGCCGTTGAAGCTCCCAGTCCTGCTGGATTGCTCTTCATCTGAGCTTTCCCCTTCCTCTGAACTCTGCTTCCCATTCCCTGACAAAAGCGATTTATGCTCACTGCTCTGGTTCGTACGGCGTTTCAAGCTAGGTGCTCGCCCGATGCTGTTCCAGCTCGACCTGCGGCTGTTCCAGCTACTTCCTGCGCTCCATGGGCTATGTGGAGAACTCCGGACACTGACCTGAAGTGATGTAAGTAAGAACACAAGGGATATCAATAGAATGCTAGAAGCAAGAACTCGGTTAACAGTGCCAAAAAGACATCCAGCCGGTGGAATAAATTAATTTTAAAATATGCTGCAAACGGGGCGCAAAGGCGAGGAGCAAAGGATACAAGGGAGAAGGTGAGCCACATACCGGGGATTTGAGATCAAATGTATTAGGATCCATGGAGGTGCCACTAGCTCTTCGAGAACCATAGTCCTGAGCCACTTCTCCATAGATGGCACTTTTTGGCATGGACATGGGTGTAGCTGCTGTGTGAATGATAAGTGGGGGCGTCAAGCTCTTCTTTAGCTCTGGATGGTCACAAAGAGCCATCACTGAAAAAAGAAGAAAGAAAACATTCGTATCGTGCCCTATATCATCAGAGACATATGATTTGATGTGATCAGGACAGTTTTCATATGTGTCTTGATCATTCCTCTTTCTTATGTCTCTCAATCTTCTAATACAAGACTCTCAAATCTTCATTTTACAGGTTCTCTGGTCCCTTTACTGTATGCTCATGAATTGCCAATAGCACTCCTCTGTTTTCCTACTCTTGATTTAAGATATTATCAAGACTAGCTTCCTCTCTGTGGTATGCAAGATGGACAGCAATCACATCTAGCAGAGGTGTGCTAGAAACGGTCTTCTTGTTGTTCCTGAATTGCAAACACTACTGTTTTTCTATCACAGACGTCAGGATTTAACGGGTTTTAACCTACGATGGTCATAGATTTCTCATTCTTAAGGTACACTCAGAGCAATCTTTTCCCTTCACTCTTTGTCATGGAGAGATATTTATCCCAAATATGAACTTTACACTGTATAATGAGCCACACATCATATTCCAAATTATCTACAACATTATCCCATGCTCCTCTCTTAATGTTGTTGAATTCCTCCAGTGACAAGAATCTTTATCAAGGCATCTCTTACATCATATTGACTGAAGCTAGACACACACACACACACACACACACACACACACACACAATTGTTACTATAGCTACTGTATGTGCACTACCAAAAATCTGGTAGATTTTGCCACTAGATCGTAATAAATATAGAGGCATCTGAACCCCTTGCTGCCATCTAATGATCAATCAGATTTTTGCAGTCCATCTAGATACTCCTAAGGAAACTAATTCAAATACATTATACAAAAACTTCTGTGGAGATTCTCAGTCTTCTAGGTCATAGTTACCTGAAAGGTGTTTTTTTTTTCTTCAAAAGGCAACTCGACTGTTTTTTTCCTTGAGGAAAAAGAAGAAAATGTTTTGCTTCTCATCCAAGAAGCTTCATCATCCCCCCCATCAGAACTGATGAAGTCTCTTGTGAGAAGTGGAACCTTTCCTTCTTCCTCAAGGAAAAAACAGCCCAGTTGCCTTTTGAAGAAGGAAAAAAAGGACCCGTGAGACATTATATCAGTGATGGCAAACCTTTTAGAAACTGAGTGCCCAAAAACCGGCCCTGCCTCCCCCGCCCTCTCTGCCCCCGTTCCCCTGCAAGGCCACCCACTGCCTCCATGGCCCACCACAGTGGATCGCCCAGGCAGCCCAGCAGTGCCGTGACAGCCATGCCCTCTGCCCGTGCTCCGCAGCATCAGCTGCGCATGACGGGGCGTGAGGGCCGAGTCTTGTTCCACTGCCCAATTACCATGTCCTTGGCTGCATTGCTCCGCGCGGACCACGTTCAGGGGCGACTCTCCTCCAGGGGGACTGCTGGTGAGAAGGGGGCTGTGGGGGGAGGCGGGGCTGGGGCAACAGTGCACGTGCCCACAGAGAGGGCTCTGAGTGCCGCCTCCGGCACGCGTGCCATAGGTTCGCCACCACTGCATTATATAAAGACTGAACTTTCTGGAAAAGGCTCTAATGATGGGAAAAGTGGAAGGAAAGAGAAGAAGAGGACAACCAGGAGCAAGATGGATTGACTCAGATACAATGGCTATGGGTGCATCTCTGGAAGACTTGAAGGACCAGGTTGGAGATAGATAGTCCTGAGAAAAACTATTTATGTGATTGCTATGAGTTGATACCAGCATATAAATCAATAATCAAAGCTATTACTAAAGAAAGGTAATGCATTTGCTCTTTTTCTGCTTGGTTATACTTAATAACCAAGAAAATAAATATACATGAAGTTTCATATAACAAATGGAAAACATTTCTTAGCAGGAAAAACAGCAATAATCATATTGTTACTTACAAGTTGGATTTGAAAAATTTTTCTTAAGTCCACACTCTTCTTCCAAAGTATGGGGAAAAAGTTCCCCCTCAGAATCAGACTTGGTAGCATCCCCCTAGAGAAAAAACAGGAAAAATAGGATAAGTTACCTGGCCATTCCCTGTCTGAATAAGAGGACTCTTCCTCCCCCCTACACACAAGGTTCACTGTTCCACAAAAACTGTTGCCACATTAGGACACAACCTTCCACAACATGAGGCATGCAAATATTTAATTCCAAATTTGTAGTCCAGTTTTACAACACACTACACTTTCGAAAAGGGCAACTAAAGCAGCTAAAGACTTGAGAGAAGCAAAAACAATTGATTTAACCTCATTCTGCTAGAAACTTGGCCTGGAAGCATAGTTAACTCCCAGGCTTCTAACATTTCCCCCTCAAGGTCTTCAAAGGAACCATCTTAATTTCCAAGCGCTTATAACTCTTTCTACTCTAATAAATATTTTAGCCCAATCACAATAGTTTTAATCAGACATTTGAAAGTATGTTGTTTATATTGACTAAATGGTGATGGAGGTGGTAAATAGAAGGCAGAAATTATAAGCAATTGCATGCAGCCTTGAATCAGAATTTGCTGTATATACTTTTCAGATTGATTCCTATAAAATACAGAACCATTAATCTGAATAGTTGAAAGGAACAAGGCAAGGATCAACTCTATCTATCTATCTATCTATCTATCTATCTATCTATCTATCTATCTATCTATCCATCCATCCATCCATCCATCCATCCATTCATCTATCCACGGAGCCACTGCAGTTTCATACAACAGCCTAACTTTTACCTCTCAAAATTGGTTAATTAGAGATCTGGTTGAGATGAAATGGACATTTATTTTAGTAATATGATTTGGGGGACAGATATTCTGGGCCTATCCTTGATTTAATTCATATAGTCATTAGGATGAATTGAAGGGCTGTCTGTCAAAAGTAATGTTTGGCTTCTGACAGTGAAATCAGAATCAAGAGCCTGTAAATAATGGGCATTTACCATACTGACAAGGCTCTTTTATCAAATGATAATGAAGTTCATAAGGCCTTTTTTATTAGAGAGTTACCCTAGAATTCCTTTAACATTCAATGGTAATTGTCTTTATTTGTCCACTTCATTTTCTTTCTTGACCTCATTTTCAAATCAAACATTATTACCATTTTGGAGCTCATCTCTGGACCAATCAAATGATAATAAGACATAGCACTAAGCCATATGTGGTTTGATTTTGGTTTAACATGTTTTGTGTATAAGCACTGTAACTTATAAGCCATGGTTAATGACTATGTATATTTGAACTCAGTTAACTGTGGTTTAAGGAAACCACAATTAAGCAATCATGGCTTAATGTAACTTAATAACCTATTATATGAACCAGGAATAAATAGTCCATAAGGACTGAAAGCTGTTTTTCTGGCAATTATGATCCAAGACAGCTTCATAGAGATAGTCAACACAGCAAATCAATAGGTGATAACACACACATATGCAAAAAACCTTATGAAATCAGGAAAAAAAGGCAAATAACCCAGCAAAATACAACAAGATCCATGCTGCTGTACTAAAAAGCTTTAGCTCACCATGATGGCACTTGATGCTTGAGAAAAACTTGAAAAGTGGAACAGGTTTGGTTGGGAGGATAATGTTCAATAGCAGTCTTTTGAAATTAATTGAAAATTTTGCCTGATTAGCATCCAGGTCACATCATCAATGTACTGACCTTTATTTTTCCAGTTAAATGTGTACTTGAGCATCTGTGTAGATAAATATATCTGCAAGGCATTTCTTTCCAATCAAGCTACGGACTTTTTAAAGATGTATCTTGCACCTAAGCACAGGGAATTCATAAATAGGAAATCCTGCACCTTTCTATCCCTATTGAGCCCTTGGAAAACATAAAACAGGGTAAAAACATGAGTTCTGCATGATGCTCCCTGCTCTTCTCCATTTGGGTCTGGTTGCTGATTGTGAAAGTTTGAAGAAAGTCTCCTACTTAACCTGGATTTTCTTTGCATTTGACATCCAGTGAATTGTATTCATTCAAACAGGAGTCCACCAATTTCTACTCAAATCTTTCTTACTGACATTTAAAGGTCAGGATCAAAACAATGAAGCCAGCATGCACATCCTTGGGCTCCTTCCAACAGGACAGAATCCTGTTCTTGAAGGTTTAAGTAAAGCTATTCTAAGCAAATGGTGGGTGGATCCCTTAAAAAAAAAAAAACACCGCTGAAGAATACATGACACAGTTCAGATGAACTTGTGACTAGATTTTTATTGTGACTCAGAGTTAAGTTGATGTCCATTCCTTTGGATACTTTCCCAATAAACATATTAGAAGTCATCTGCTTCTTTTAATGCTAAAATAAGGCTAGAAGCAGTAATCCATCTGCAACTCATGAATTAATTCATTAGTAATTTTGTTAGGTTTTACCCATATTTTTTCATAAAGTATTATAAGAAGTACAGTATAAAAAAAGGTGAAGTAATTTTCTCTTAGTGGTTGCCCTAATGCATGTTAATTTACGTGTAACATTTCAATCTTTCATGATTAACGGATCCCTTATACCAAAATAATTTAGTCCAATGTAAGGGATGGTCTTTATTTATTTTGTGTTGCTTAAATGTCATAATGGAATTATGGTCCCATAATTCTGAGAATGATCCTCAAAATTAATAATGTGGTAGTAATTTTGCTGCCCATTTCTCTTTATTGAGACAGTGCATTTGAGCTCATTTTCTCAATAATAAATGATTAACTGGAGATAAATGGCAGTCTTAATTAAATATTTATGCTATAAGCCTCTCAAAGTTTTTGACATGAGATGGGCAGTAAATAAATTTCATAGTAAAATAAAAATAAAATAAATAAAAAATATTTCCGAAATATCTCTTCTGTTCATATGCTTCAAAATCTACACAGTCCAATGGGTAATGGATTGGCCTTAAGCTTGGAGCATTTAGGGTATCCACATGGATGACTGTGTCCTGTCAAGCAACTTTTCCTGCAGTTCAAATCTGACTTTAAAAGGATCGTGTGAACATGAGAAAAATGCCTGTGCAGACTTGTGTCTTTACAGTTTTGTTAAACATGCAAATTAAATATATGTATATTATATTACAAATCATGTAAAGTGATGCTGGGTCTACATCACATACAAAAAAAAATCTTCACAAATGTTTGAAGATAATGCTTGTTAAAAACTCAAAAAAGCATTAATGATATTGGTCAGTAAAAGCATCCTTATTTTGAAATAAGAAGGAAGTCTGTGTTAAAAGCCTTTCAATAACGTTGCAATTTGCAAAAATTGAATTCAATATGCTTTCCCCCACATTTTTTTTTTAGTCTGCATTCCAAACAGGGTTTTTTTTTTTAGTTATTAGGTGACGGCTTGTCTGATGTGATATTTAATACAAATGCCAGTGTATTTTATCCTCCCTCCTTTCAGCACCAAACCCATTTTTTTTACAGCATCCTGCCATAGAACCCAGCACCAACTTGAAAATGCTAAGCACACTAATTTACCACAGGCAAGCTTTACCCACCTAGGTTCCCAAAGAAATTACCTGTTTTTTCACTCCTAGTTTGCCTTTCTGAATGAAAAAGGCATTAGGTGAGCAAAGGTACAGTTTGTTCATGATAAGCATGAGATGTGCCAGGAACTAACCAGTATATAGGGAAGGCAGCCTATGGCTATAACAGCTGTTCTGACTCTGGTGCTCTCCAGAAGTGTACATCAGATGATGGTATAGTTGCAATATCTCTGGAAAGCACCAGGTTGGGAGAAATCTGGGTAGTCAAAACAAAGGATCTAAACAGAAGCCCCCCCCCCTTCCAATACCAGAAGAAACTGAGGAAAATAGGGAAAGAGAGATTTATAGTAGAACAAGGCAATGGCAGAATTGATGTGCTTGATTTCATAGATAAATCAGGCAGGGTAGAAGATTTGCACGATGTCAATATTTGACACATTCCCAAGTATGTTGTCTTTTTTATTCATTTTTAAAAGGCTGCAACAATATTCTACCAACATTTTATAAATCCTTTAAGAAGGGAGTATTCCTTTTTTTTTTCCTGACCTCTCCTTTGTACCCTTCTTTCTAACCTCCAGTCAATAAAAAATTTCCCAAGGTCTCTGGTTATATATTATATATGCTGTCAGTAGCTGCCTCAATTCTAGAATGGCCATTTTTAGGACAGAGTCTTCTCACATATGAACGTCCACATAGCATGCTTGATTTTAGGTCCCGTCTGTCTTTGATATGTTTTCCTAATGTCTCTGTCTCTGTCTGTGTCTGTCTGTCTGTCTGTCTGTCTGTCTGTCTCTCTCTCTCTCTCTCTCTCTCTCTCTCTCTCTCTCTCTCTCTCTTTAAAGGGAATCAGCATTGGCATGCAGAAGGGTTAAGTGACAATTTGTAAGGCATGTCTATAAGGGAGATTATGATGTGCAACTATATGCATTATATTTTCTTACAATTCATGTTGGACATATGGGGAAATTTCTTACTGACCTGAATGAACTCTGGGCCTAAATTCATACTCCTTTGCTGTTGGTAATACAACTGAGACAGCTGAAACAATGATACTCTGTCTCCAAAAGTTAGAAACATACACTTATATTCATTAAAATCAGTGTATATTAATAGGTAAATATAAGCAACGATCAGTTATTTTGGCTCAATCAAAACCAAGAATTACATGCAAAGTTACAGCAAGTGGCAAGTGTTTCTATCCATTTATGAGCTGAAGGGCAATAGTCAGGGCACACTGCTAGGCTTCTAAGATGGTAGGAAGTTGAAGATCTTCCTCTTTTAGAAATGCTAGCAGGGGCCCTAAAATTTATAAAAAGGAATCTTAATAGGTAGGAGTCTAAAAGAGGTTTTCGCTCATTGGAGAGATACGCTCTTAATTCCCAGCAAAGAAGGAAGAGACTTAAAATCAAGGTCAACTTGACAATGAGAACAAATTCATAACCAAACATCTATCATAATGAGAACAGTGGCAATGATGGGGCTGCTCACAACACAGAGACAGAGAGACAGGCAGAGAGAGAGAGAGAGAGAGAGAGAGAGAGAGAGAGAGAGAGAGAGAGAGAGAGAGAGAGAGAGAGAGAGAGAGAGAGAGAGAGAGAGAGAGGAAAAGAAAACTACCAGACAAAGGTTGTGGTGTTCATGCCAGATCTTACGTACCACTGACGAGTCGACAGGCAGCTGAATACAGCTTAACTGCCTACTCGCTGCTTCCCGTTTGGTGATTTCCTGAAGTAAAAATGAGGAAGGAAGGTGAAGGGATGGAAGGAAGGCAGGAAAGAAGGTGGATTTTTCAAATTTTATAAATCTTAACATCAAAATTGAGAGAGTGAATAAAAGGGTAATAAATATATTGGGGAAAAAAGGAATAACAATAGAAATGGAAGAGAAGGGAAGGTACCCATTGTAGTAAATTTTGTACTACGGAGAAGCAATTGAACAGGTTACACTACCCTTGAGTTATATGATGTAGCCATTTATGGACACATAATCCAGATCTTTAAATTAAAAGCTCTGTTCATACTTATGACTTATATGTGAACAACTGTTAAAACAGTAAATCTTCAAATCTATCTATCTGAAATCTGTTGTTTCTTTCTGCAACAACCAAAGGGATATTAAAAAAGGGACAAGAGAATCTTTACAGAGTATAGTGTTTGAACAACATTTCTCCATAGCTTAGAGTTGGTTAAAAATATGTCCAATCATGTACCCTAGTTTCTTCCTCCCTATGCAGCTAAAGCTGCCACTAGTTGCTTATAGTTTGTTTTGTAAGGTATAGGTGCGTTAAGACAAGCTTAAAACCTGACAGCTACCCAGACATAAATTTGGGGGTTTTTTGGCAATGGTACAGGAGTGGTTGCCCTTACTATATTTGGGAACTTTTTAAAATTTCTAAACCTAGGCTGCAACCCTGGGGTTTCCTGCTGGTCTTGCATTCCAAGTGCAAACCAAGTGCAGTTTTGCTTAGCTTCTGAGCAAGCAGGCAAGGTTAACCAACTACTAGCCTTTGCTAAAGTGGTAGAAGTATAGACAGAGCAAAGTACCTGCTTACTGATCATTCAAATGAAGATTCCACATGCGTTGTTATTAGCAAGGGGCATTAATCTTTAAGTATTTTTAACTGAAAACCTTGTGGTAATAATTCAGAATTATAAAAGACAATTTATATTAATAAAATAGCAAGAGCACTTAGACTTATATACAGCCCCACAGTGCTTTACAGCACTCTCTGAGTGGTTTACAGAGTCAGCATGTTGCCCCCAACAATCTGGGTCCTCATTTTATCAACCTCGGAAGGATGGAAAGCTAAGTCAACCTTGAGCCCCATCAGGATCGAACTTCTGGCAGTAGGCAGAGTTAGCCCGCAATACTACATTCTAACCACTGCACCACCACAGCTCCTATATTGAGACAAACTCTTGCGGATTAAAGATGATAAGTATACTCCAATTATATTTGGCAGAACCCCATTTTATACAGCATGTTATGCTTTAGGAGTTTTAAAAAATCCAATACACTTGCAGTTATTTAATAGTCATCCATCTGACAATTACTTTTAAAAATAAATGCTATAGCAGTCTTTTCCAACGTCATGCCCTTGAGATGTGTGAGATTACAGTTAGAGTTAGAATTTCTAACCAGAATCTGATTGGGGAAAGAAAGAAAGTGGCTTTCAGTTCCTAGGAGAAGACAAATATAAAAAAACAGCTATATATTTAATTATAATAAAAACTTTTTTTTTCGTTTCTGGAAACTGAGGATGTTGGTCCGTTCCCTCTTTGATTTAAGGAATTGAATTAATTATTCTGGCAGTACTTCAAGTCTGCATTTCTTAGATGAAGACAAAAAGCATTTTGGAACATCAAAGTGAGCATCATACTTGTTAAGTCAGCCATATTTTTCTGTACAAATGGACAGTTTTGATCATTTTTCACTTTGTTACACAGACAATTATCTCTTTTCATAGATGACTGACTATGGATCCGGCAGTGGAGTTCAATTCTAGTGTGCTGGTGCCCATTTTTTTATTTATTTAATCTATTCATTTAATTTATCTCCTACCTTTCTATTCAGTTCAAGATGACCAATATTTTTTTTATAATTGGTGAAAAAGATGAGCTCTAGGTACAAAGGAAGCCTAACACGCCTTATGAATGAGAGCTATTGAAAAAGAGCAGTTTACTAAACTTTGTACTTAAGCAGCAAAAAATAAGATCTATTAGAATAATTTGGGCAATCACACCTCAGGTTACGCAGTGAAATAAAAGCACCTTACAAATAGCCCACTTGATCATCCCATTCAATAGGTCCGCAAGCAAAGTAGGAACTTTTCAATTAATATTAATTTCCAAACCAGTAATCTACAAATAAGAACTATGGAACAACAACAACAACCAAAAGAAATAATACTGCAGATATACTGTACTACTTTTCTGCTATGCTTCTTTCTTATTCTGCTACTTTACTGTTAATGACAAAATGGGACACGGTTGTTAATGGACGATTTTCTGGTTGGTTGCTAATTTGCAAAAAGGGAGAAGTGAAGAAGTGGGTCAATCTAAAATGTGATTGTCTGAATTGAGAAGTCCGTTAAAAAATGTCTTTTTAAACTGATTGTGGAAATGTGTTTGTGTATCAGAAAAAGAAAAATGTAAGGACTACATTGAAGCCCAAGGTATGACCAGGGTCTTTCTAAAAAAAATGTTACTAAGTGTTAAATGAAGGTCAAGCAAATAATTTTTCTGCTTTCCTCTTTGTTGTTTTAGCTGGTTTTCCCCAATCTAGTGCTGCCCAGACAGATGTTTGGGTATAGCTCCAAGAATTGCATAGCCAGCATGGTGCTGGCTGGAGACAACAGGAGCTGAAGTCCAACATAATCTGGAAAGTATCAGATTGGGGGTGCTGACACCTACCATCATTCTTTACTAGCTGCTTTGTGCTAAGAGAAAAAAAGCAACAACACAAAAGAGGAACAGGAGATAAACTAAGAATTCTCAAAGACAAGCACAGAATCTATAGGGAAGATGAAAGGATTGCCATAAAAAATATGTCTCATAGATAATGTTATCATGTAGTCCTCCCAGGAGAGAAGCTTTATCACTGATAGAAGGTTCTCTCACTGGTGTCCTATGTTTCTTTCTTAGATAAAGTCTCCAGGGCACAAATCTAACAGCTCACTCTGTCATTTTTGTATTATATAGTCTTTATCAAACTGAGTCCTCCCCTTGCCTATTCTATTTTATGCAATATAAAAGAACAATATTCAGAAGGTCCAATAAAAATAAAGCCCCACTGAGAAGCTACTAGCAATGTGCCCTCTGCACATGGAATGTAAAGCACCAGCTAGGACCAAGTTTTAAAGAGCTGTATATTGCAGATATGTGCACATGCATATTAAGAATAGGCCAGTATTTTGTATATGTGTCTGCTGCTTAGCAACAGAAACGTCCAGTACATTCTTATACTAAAATTAACAAAAGTGTTTTCAGAGTCAAGAAAAGACACTTGAGGGCACAAAGATAAAACTGTCACCAGCATTGAAATGAGATTGTAGAGGAGAAGTGGGTAGGAAGGGACTTGACAAATAAAATTTTCATTGACTTTTGAAAGATTACAAAAGAATTTTTCCTCCTTGGAAAGACCATTAATAGTATATGGAATATATGGTCCTGTGAAGGAATGTACATCTGGCCTTGGGACTGAGAAAGAATGAGCGAACAATTAAAAAGTGGATGAGCTGGTGGGCGAAGTTTTAGAAAAGATAACTCAGCCTAGAGAAAGAGGATGACATGAAGAAGAAGCTCAACCCCACCCTGATTTTGTTTGATGGGACAGAGAAATCCTGAGAGGATTTCAAGATTCTGTTACGTTATAGCCAAATATTTTTGGAATCCTTACCCTGCCAGTTCTGGTCTACCTTGAAGATCTGACAAACCCAGCCTCCAAATTTGATTTCAATCCTTTTTCAAAGATTGACATGTGATACCAATCAAAATAACAATAGATCCTAAATTTGTTTTAGGCGACAATTTAGCGCATCACAAGGCTGTACCAATTCACATTAGGGAACATTCTGCCTACAACAACTTTCTGATTTAGACATGGGGAATCATATTACTGTCCAGACATTCAGAGCAGAGTAATCATTGGCAGCAAGAGAACTAGGCAGGTTAGATAGATATTTTATTTATTATGTGTTATTTAAATTAGATATGCTAAGATACACCCCATTAATCATCTGACAGTAACCAAAAGGCAGTTGTGGTTTTTCTGTCACACCTGGTCCTTTAAAAGAAACCTATGACTAATAGAAAAAAATAAATGTAGCTAAGGGTTAAACTATGAAGTCCTAGACTTAGACTTCAACCTTAGGATTGACCTGTCAGCATCTACGGCTAAGTTAAATCCCCAAATGCTAAGGAATTCCTGGAAGCTTGGCACTCAGATGAATCAGTCATCAACAGGCACATAGAGATAAATAACATTTACAAACCATTCAAAAGAGATAACAAAAAAGCTAAAAGAGAAACATTAAACCAGAATATCTCCTCAGCAGCTATCGGTGTCCGGATAAAACAGGGATTAATACTAGAAGCAACACCAGACAAACAGTCAAGCAGCAAACAGCAGCCCAATCAAAGAACTACCAAGGAAAAGACAACACCATCATCCAACAGACAGGGTGGGCTACTGTATATAAACAGAGAACAAAACCCGCTCTCTTCTAGCACTAGTCAGTTAATGACATGTCAGCAAGCAATCCACCAAGCTCAGATGGCACCAAGAACTCCACAAACCTCTGACTGCTCAGTGGGATTGGCACAGTATCCCTTCTTTCTGATATTATCTCGGAGAAAAAAATAGCTATGACCCGGAGGCTGAAATACAGAGGCAAATACAAGGAACTTAAACGAAGTATAGCAAATAAGATAGAAGTAAGCAAACAGAGAGCTCATGGTTGCTTTGTCCTAAGAGCCTTCCATAAATCTTCTTCCTACACTGCATTGAGATGAAAACAAATAAAAGGCCTGGAGGTTTTCTAAAATGTTTTTCTTATGCTGCAAATGAATAGGATAAAAAGAGAAGCAGGCAACAAACTCACACTATTGACATGACTTTGATTTAGAAGCCCACGTCTAGATGCTACTGAATAATCCCAGCCATGCTACCTATGCCTGGGGGTTGTGTTGAACACTGCCGCCTTGAGACCTGCAACAGTGTTTTGACATTTTATTGCTTGAAGGCTGGCTTATTCGCTGTCTCCCTAAGTCCGCAGAAAGAACAGAACAGAATAATAGAGTCGGAAGGGGCCTTGGAGGTCATCTAGTCAAATCCCCTGCTTCAGCAGGAGACCTTATACCATTTCAGATAAATGGCTGCCCAGTTTCTTCTTGAAAGCCTCCAGTGTTGGGGCACCACAACTTTTGAAGGCAAGCCATTCCACTGGTTGATTATTGCTAGCTTTTGCAAGATGTAGACATACTGGCTTGCCAGTAAAATTACAGAGGCCAAGTTCATTGATCTTATTTATCTAAAATATTTCTAGGCTGCCATGAAAGGTAGAAACCATTCCAAGTTCAGTTCAAATGTCTTTCTTTCAGTTGCCTGGCAATGATGGCTAGTTAATGAAAGATGTAGCTTCAATCCAAAAGGGGCAGGCAAAAATAGAATAAATAAAAGACACCAAAGTGTTGCTTTTATGGAGGCGGGAAAATGTCTACAAAGACATAGCAGCAAATGGTACAATGGGCTCACTTATCTCATGCATATTTATCAGGCAGTTTTGAATTTGGCTCTTAAATGCAACAAAGCTTGGTTCAAAGGCAATGTGTTTGCATGATCATGTGCTCTTTCACAACACTTGAAGCTGGGCCTTTGATACCAACTAAAGGGTCTGTCTTTTTACCAAAGCAATTGCTTCTTTTGGAAATCCTAATCATTTTACAAGCAGGGGTTCTGAACCCTACATACTCTCTTTATCAAAGAGAAATCAAAGAAGTCCTTCAAGGCTTTACCTCTGTCTGAAAGCCTTCCACCAAGATAGCAACCAACAAATTAAAGAGAACGTAATTCCCAAATGTCATGAGGGCAATGAAGTAGAGAGCGGCCCAGGAAGAGGTAGAAGCCATGCCATTGTAGAGGACTTTATTCCAGTCTTCCTGGGTCAGTATCTGGAATGAAAACAGGAACCATTTGATGTGAGACAATTTTAAAGTGCATTCACCTTTTTACCAACCTATGATCCAGGTATCTGTAAAACTGTTGCATTTCCAAATGTTAACCATCATGCATACAAGTAATTTTTGAAAAAGATAGTATAGTATGCACTTAGAACAGGGGTGTTAAACTTGCAACATCACGTGATGTGTCACGATGTATCACAACTTTTTTCCCCATTGCCGGCAATGGGGTGGGCGCGGTTTTGCTATGATGCATCTGGCCCGTGGGTCGGCAGTTTGACACCCCTGACTTAGAACTTGTTATGCCTTCTTTGCCTCTTGAGGTGTCTCACCAGTGTGACTCAGAACTGTGGCACACATTGCCTTATCCTTGTGGACTGTAATTAATTTTTTAATGGCTAAGAAACTTCACAGCTGACTGAGTAACACATAATGCTCACTGTTTCTGGCCAGATGTGGCTGATTCTCCCTAACATTCTTCTAACTAGTGGCTGGCTCAGTTTTGCAAGCCTAGCTGGCATCACCAGAAACAGTAAACAAAAAGAAGCAACTTAAAAACACCTGGAATAAGTGTTTCTCTCTGTGTTTCTAACTGTGTAAATGTATATATATTCCTGACTGTAACAATTTGTTCAAAGGGGATAATCAGTTCTTAGTCTTTCACAATTCAGAGAATTTTGTTTAAGGAAGTTCAGTATTCTGGGTTAGAATTAACAGATACTTTAACTTGTGCTGCTAAATGGCTGTTTCTTTAAATAGCATTTTTTATTTAAGAATATAGGCATTAAAGACATAAAATCAGGGTAAAATCCTTATTTCTACAAAGGGAATGTGTTTGTTTGCACAAACATAATCAGAAGGTAGAAACTGTGAGGTCAATTTATACTGGGGCTTTATGTATTATTTAATATTTTAGTTGCTGTAATCTGTTGCTTGCTTTTCATTACACCTGTATTATTGATACATGTCTATGAAGAACCAATTGACATTCACTGTACTGTTTTCAAAAACCCTCCAGCTGTAAAACAGTTTACAATAACAGCATTTAAAGATAAAAAATTATGGGCCATAATTGATGTATTACCTGGAAAACAGTAACAATGGCCCAGAGCAAAGAATCAAAATTCTTCCTGTCAGGGAGAGTGTCTCCATCTCTCTCTGAGGCAAACTTACACCCGAAGAGATGCATCCCAAGGATACTGAATAACAAGGAGAAATGGGTTAAACGAGAGATTAAAGGGTTAGAATTTGGAACATGTTTCTTACTACTCTGTTCCCTTTCATTTAAGAGAATGAAGCTCAGTTTTAATAAATCAGAAAATAACTTTGGTATTTCAAATATATGCAACTTGTATTGTGGCTTAGATAAAATACAAAAAACACACAGGATATGGGAACAAAGCCAGACCAGTGGGTTTCAAATTTCTATATTAAAAAAAAAAAAATATCCAGAAGGATCAGACTCTTTAGGATCTGAATGATTCTAAAACTGATTATTTCTCTTCAAATTCTGACCACTTCTAATAGAGCAAAAGTGAGCCACATAGATGAAAGAAGAATAGCTACAGATTTTCATTTACAGAGCTGTAGCAGAAATTATTTCCCCATTTAAATGTAGATAATTTCATGTTAAACCAGAAGTTGAAATATAACATTCAAGAATGATTGTTTTATTCACTCGTATCTAAAACCTGCTAATTGCCCTATAGAAAAGGTTTTCAATAATAACCAAGAAAGCAAATAAATCCAAAACAAAATATAATGAAACAATAATTAAAATACTGTAAAAGGAAGTCACCAAGAAGCTCAACAAAATAATCTAAGAAATATAGGAAAAATAAAAGGCTGGATACTTTTAATTTTCTTTTTTATAAATGTCTTTGCCTGACACCTAAATAAAATGGAAGTTGGCAGGCTGTTTTAGAGAAGGCATTCCTCCGAAGTTGGAGAACATCACTAAAAATGTCCACTCTTACCGGCTAAAATGTAGCATGTGAAAGCACTCAGAGTGGGGCCTCTGATAATAGTCCCAATGCTCAGATAGGAGGTTTTTTTTTATTATGAACTCACCTGAAGATAAAGATGAAGAGCATCAGTAGCATGCAGAAGGTGGCCACATTATCCATGGTTTTCATGAGGACCACTAACTGGCGTTGAAGAGCAGGCATAAACCGGACCAGTTTTAGAACTCGCATAAGACGGAAGGTTCTTAAAACAGACAAGCCTCCACCTTGCTGTCCAACTATCTCCCACACACTAAGAAAAGAGAATATATATTAACGTAATAAATTAGCTTTTGAGAAGAAGTATTATTACTGCAATTCTGTTGTTCTTGGAGGTTTGTCCTAGTGACCATAGGATTCATCCGATTCAGAATTTTACCTCTAAATTTAATTATTTTCCTGGAGGAAGAAATCTAGCATAGCAATTCCCCCCTCTGAGCATCTGAAAGCAATTCTTTATTACATTGGAACTCTGACATTGAAAAAAGACACAAAAGAGTAATGTGGGTGGTATTGTGGGAGGGCTGTAGATCCACCAGATCAGAAATCAATCTGGTTTTCTGCTTATCTCTCAAATCAATAATTAGTTGGATAGTATTCATTAATTTTGTTTCATCGGTTTCAATCAGAAAGATTTTTTTTTTAAAAAAAATTAGCTGTGGAAGGGAAACAGAGCCCAGCGAGATGTTGTATATGGATATTCACTCACTGACAAGGGCTTTTTCTCCTCATGTTGTTAAACTGAGAATATTAAAATGAAGAGTTAGAAATTTTTGAGAAAAAGCTCTGAATCCTATGACTGCTGAGGAACTTCCAAAGGAAGTTTCCATAATAACACTCCCAGTTCAAGATCTGCATTCATTTCAATGTTTTGCATGATTTTAGGATTTCTGGGGGGGAAAACAGGGAAAAGCATTCATAGTGGCTACTTTTTAATTCCTGCGTGCACTCAAACAGATTTTGTTATGTGCCCTAAAAGTGCACCGAAGTAGAAAAACAGATACAGAGGTGTTCTGAGGATAAATGTTGCATGGGGAACATTGTTAATGGATTTCTTTTATTGGAATTCTGCAAATAGAAACTACATATAATTTGCCCTGTATTTTCTTCAGGGAATTCATGTTGATGAGGTATCCATATGTCCTGATTTACAGAAATGCAGTACAGTCCTTTATTGAAGCAGGCCTTACTTGGAGAACCAAATGTGATTTTAAAATAAAGAATTGTAAGAAGGCAATAGTCTTATAGCAGGGGTCCCCAACCCCTGGGCCATGGACTGGTACTGGTCCGTGGCCTGTTAGGAATCAGGCCACACACCTGGAGATGAGCAGTGGGCAAGTGCCCCTATCCATGGAAAAATTCTCTTCCACAAAACCAGTCCGTTATTGTTAGCATTTGGGCAACAGCCTGAGCAGACATGCAACTTGTAGTCTTCATTTTGGTGAGCCATATCTTTTTTTCTACTTCAGTTATAATCATTGTTCAGTGCTGGATGACTTTTCTTACACTGGCAGGTACAAATCTTATCTTTCATCCTTTTATAAAGTGATGTGTAAGTGGCCAGCTAGATATAAAAAGTAAACAAGTACTGTCACCAGCCCTATTATTTATAGTGATTGCTGTATCACTATAATATAGCAAAGAAAATAATAGTGGTGGGTGGATTACACTGAATAGTCCCTCTGTACTAGAGACTATAACTCCTTCTCAAAAGAAGCCAATTAGTGTGGTTGTACGTAAACATAACCATATATATTGTCATAAATTAATTTATTTTGACTGGGCATCCTTCACATGAATTATAACTCTTAGAATTATTAGCAGTTCCAGAGAATATACCATATACAACACCTGAGGAAAAAAAAAACCCCAAATATATTCAAAAACATTTCAACCCATTTTTTTTAAAAAAACTCAGTTTTATTGCAAAATCCAGTCAAAAGAAATCAGTTTGAAATAAGGTGGCATTGGAATAAATAAATGGATTAAATGTTATAGACTGCAACCACTTATGGTAATTAAGAAACCTTGTTTTTAATTACCTGATCACTACAATGATTCCATCAAAGATATTGTAGGGATTTTTGATGTAACCAAAAGGGCCATACACAAGAAGCTTCAGAAGCATCTCTAGGGCAAAGAGGCTAGTAAACACAATATTGCTGATTTCCAGTGCATTGGTGAGTTCTTCTGGCTAGAAAAAAAAACCCAAGGATAAATAAAATTGTCAAGATTAATAAAAAGAGTGCTGTGAAATACAAGGAAATGTCTAGTCATGTAAGTTGTAACATCCATAAATATATAAGACAACCAGACAGAATGAAAAAAAAATCTCTTGGGCCATTCGTTGCCTGTTTTTGCAGTGCTGGGAGCTTCTTTACCATTGTCAGAACTAATCCTAAACTCAAGGCACAGTTGATATGATTTGCTTACTAGATCATACCCTCTTTCTTCCAATCACCTTAACAATTTCATGACATGTGGTAAGGCAAAGGCCTATTGGAGAAAGATACATATGTGGTTAGAAAAAATATTGGGTGAACGAGTGGATTTTAAACCTGAACTTTTTTTTACTAGGTATTATGCCTGAAAAGACTAATAAGCAGAAATTATATTTAATCTTACACATTACTACAGCAGCGAGAATAATTTTTGCACAATACTGGAAGAATGAAGGACTGCCATCAGAAGAAGAAATAATCAGGAAAATATTGGAATATGCAGAGATGATCAGACTAACTATGAGGTTCAAAGATAAAGAAGATACAGACTACTATCAAATTTGGAACCTATTTTATTCTTGGCTAGAGGAAAGAATGAAGGATTAGGAATTGAACATGTATTAGCATAGCAAACTCCAGACAACTTGTTGATTGGAAAAATTAACATATGTTGATGGAAAAAAACAATAAAATCTTTACAAAAAAAACCCACAATTTCATGACAAATCAACAGTAGTAAAGCAATGTCATTTCTCATCTTAGCAAACTTTAAAACCAGCAGGTTGCCAGAAATCAGTGGTAGCTGAGGAGAGTTAAGGCACACACAAAGGCTTGGAGGTTGCAGTGCCCTGTGCTAAGACAATGGTGTCTTTGTGCTTCATACAATTGAAGAATAATAACTGAGGAACTGCCAAACTATCAACCCTACAGCCCTTGCATAAATAAAGGATGGTTTTCCCAAGCAGCTTAGGAAAAAAAAAACAAACAGAGAGGTCCATTTCTATAGAACCTCGTGAACAAAATGGCTGCTACAGCAGGAGCAACCAAATACAACTTTCCTTTTGTGCAGCAAAGCAAACTGCAGGTTTATGCTACACAGCATATAATGTTTTATCACTTGTTCTGATAAAAGGGGTGTAGTAAACCATCTATATATTTTATATCAGGGGTATCAAACTGCCGGCCTGTGGGCCGGATGCATCACGTGGAAGCCACGCCCACCCCATTGCCGGCAATGGCAAAACCAGCCCGATAGGTTGTGACATCATGAGTTTGACATGCCTGTTTTATATGCTCATCTCGGTTCTCTGTTTACCTCACCTCAGGTGAAAGGTGTTCAGGTGAAACAAGCATTATAAACATGAAGATGGTGTTCTGAATTTTAGAAATATAATATTGACACTTCAGCATTAAAAGGCAAAAGGAGGTGCCCTCAACTTACTGATTGATAACTTAGGGAGGTCTGAGGTCAAATTCTGTCAAATTCTGCAGACAGAGGATATGAAACACTAACAGACCCCAAACTGCCCAATTGCTCTTGGGTTCAGTTGAGGTTTTATAGTTTAAATGGCTCTAATTTGCAGCTTCATAGTTGCATTTAGGCTTTTACCAACACACTTTAAAAAAAATGTTAGTATGTGTTTGAGACTAACTGAATTTATTTGAACGTAATTTATAATGCTGAACTGGGTCAACTTGATTGATGGCATTTCAGGACTCTAGGTTTCTGCAACTGCCGAGAGCTTTGGGGAATGGGAGCATTAGATAGCCAAGTCCAGCTTTAAAGCACCTTTTGTGCACATCTAAATCTCTTGGTTGGTTTTCAAATGTTCCTATAAACTGTGCCTTTTCACCTGCTTGCCTCCAGTACAACACTCCACCACAAAAAACTGGACAGCCAAACAGGCTGCAGTCTTGATATCCCTGGAATGTAATTGACAAGGAATTAAGTTGGCATTTGTCAGAGGCTGTTGGGGCAAAGTCCTCCTAAAATTCATGGGACCAAAAGCAACATCAAGGCACATCCTAGAAAAAGATACACCTGCACTCATAGTTAGGATCTTTTTGAAGTACATTATGCCTCTTAACTCATTTAAATAGGGTTTGGTTGCTTTGCTGTATGGGCTGGCATCAACTGAAACTGGGTTTCTCTGACTGAGGAACTCCTTCTACATCTATATTATGACTTTATCTATACTCTGGAGGATCATCCTGCATTTTTCAGGTACCTCCATTCTTTCTTTTAGCAATAATTTGATATTGAAAATCTACTCATCAAGTATGAACAGGTGACCTTTAAGATCACTGTAACCCTAAAGTTTCTAATTTAGCAGAAATGGCTAAAATTTCTGCTTATTTGAAGGTTCACTCACAAGAAAGATACATCATTTGAAGGTTCACTCACAAGAAAGATACATCTCGGTGTGGAGAAGATGGATAAATTTTGTACAGAATAAATATGGGATTAGAAAGTATTATTTAGTTTTGAATAACTTAAAGTTTAAAATGGGAATTATTTATATTGTTAATTATGCTTTTGTTTGAAATTTTTCTTTTGTATTTGAGTTAAAGTATTTTAGGTTTTATTTTTGTATAGTTGGATAAGTTTCGTTAGAATTTGTTTGTTTATCTCTTTTTTAACCCTGTAATCAGCTCTGGGAATAAGGGGGGGAGGGTAACGGAGGGGGGAGGTAGGGGGGGAGGGTAACGGAGGGGGGAGGTAGGGGGGGATATTATTGTATTAAAAATTTGTATAAAACTTTTCAATAAAAAAAGATCACTGTAACCCTATGAAGCTGCCATGCCTTGGAGGACTGAGCCAATAATGCTATTTCAGCTCTTGCTGCTGCTGGAAATGCATGTGCTACATCAGTGAGCACCACCTCCTGTGCCAGGAACAGAAAGCAGAGACAAACAGCACTTAGCCATTACAAGTCCATACCAGAGTTACAATCCTTTTCTGGGCTTTAAGTCAGTTTGCTTAAATGCTACCCAAATCAGTAGAGTTTAAACCACAAGACTGAGTGCAGGATTATTTCCCATTTCTCAAAAAAGAGTTCATTTAAATTCTATATTGAACCTAAATGACTCTTGCTGTTTTATTCTGCATTTAAAAACTGAAGCCCTGAAGTAGAGCAAGGCAAAGGGCTACAGCTCAAAACATGGATTTCTTGGCTCTTTAATAAAGGCCTGGGCCAATGATATGCACAGTTATATAATGCCAATATGGAGGAAAGTGTTAATATTCTATTTTCCTCCTTCCAGTTCAGACCAAGCCAGTAGCTACCTCGATATACTGAAATTTGGCTACTTGTTTGCAGCTGGATGTAGAGCCTTATGTTAAATAGTTTCTCCCAAATTCTGAGCCCCATCAAATATTCCAGATAGGGAAAGTGAGTGGCAAGTTTAGGATGTGTCTTGTGAACTGGAGAAGCATGGTTCTCTCCTGCCCAGCTATATATTTTTTTCATTCACTTTCAGAATACCAGTCCTAATCCTGGACTTGGGAGATTGGAAAGAAAACACTATGTGTGTGATAGGCAATTGCCCTATTTCCAGATAACCTTTGAGTTACAACGCCACTGTCCTGGCTGTCTCCCGTGTTTTTCTCAACTCCAAATTCCTTCTTGGGCTTCCCAGCCTTCTGGCAAACCATTCTTATTCTTATGTTAGGTAGATATGCATATGTGGGAGAGAACTACATGAATGTGTTTTTTACACAGAAGGCTACTTAGGAAAGGAACAAAACTTAACACAAGCACCAAGCCAGGCCTTGTTTGCATGCAATTTTCTACAAAATTGTAGACAGTGCAATTTGGAAACCGATTTTAAGCATCTCCCTGTTCAATTCTCTGTGATTATAGTCTCCTTTGGGGCTTAGAAGTAAGAAGGAAGGTAGCCCTTATTAGTACATAATATTTATTTTTTCTTGCACATTCATACAGTGGGCAAACTTCACAATAGCAAAATTTCAGATTGCCTTATTAAAACATGTACTTTGAAAGAAAAAATATCTTATTTACAATCTTGCTGGCACCAAGGGAGTTGGCTTGTAGCTATTTTCATCCTGGAGACCATATTATTTCTGAAGCAAATGCAGAAAGCTTATACACTAGAAATGCAAATCGTCATTTTAATCTAGTATCCCACTAATTTATTATGCAGTTTCTGTTGAAATGTCATTCAGGCTGGTATATGCCTTATTGTTTTAATTCTTGGACAGAAATCACCTTTGCACTGGTGCAGCTCAATTCATGTGGTCAGTTTATATGTTCTTTGGTTCTGTAATTGCACCGATGCTAAGAATGACATAATATCTGAATAACAGTAGTGGTAAATATTACTCTGTTTTGCTTCACTAGAAAATTCTTCACTGCCACAAATGCATTCTGACTCAGTGCAACCCAATGGTTTGGGGTCAATGGGCACATTATGGATTTTGAAATTATATTGTATTATTTTGGTCCCCCTCCCTCCATTCACTCATGTCCAGTTCTCAAAGGCTACCTGGACAAGTCCCTGCAGTTCTCTGGACAACATTTTTCAAAAGTGGTTTGCCATTGTCTCCCTTCTAGGGCTGAGAAAAAGGGACTGGCCCAAGGTCACCCAGCTAGCTTTGTGCCTAAGGCTGGACTAGAATTCAGTCTTCCAGTTTCTAGCTGGATTCCTTAACTACTATACCAAACTGGCTCTTGCTGATGGGTACATCCATCTATAAAACATTTATATAGTAAGAAGCCATTTTTCTTTCTATCACCACCTTGGCTCACTTCATTCTTTTTCCAGACAGGTGGGCCTACTTCTAGCTGATAGAGAAAACTCTAAGCTGTTTTCTAAGACCATCTCTGACCTTGAGCACCTGTTTCTAATCATAATATTCCAAACTGATGAAATATGAGCTGTGCCCTTTTGTACTTGGGCCACAGCATCACCTGCAAGTTTACAGGGAGTCCTCGACATATAACTGGTCACT